AGGGGGGGACAGGGGGACAAAGGCAGGGACACGAGGGGACATTTGGGGGACACAGCTGTGGGGACAGGGGGACACGAGTGGGGGACACAAGGGGACATTTGGGGGACACAAGTGGGGGGCACAGGCAGGCAGGGGGACACGGAGGGGACGGGGGACACGGCCAGGGGTGTGACAAAAGTGGGGACACGGTTCGGGGGACGGAGCTGGGGGTCAGCAGGACACAAGGGGGGGACGAGTGGGGGACAAAGTGACACAAAGGTGGGGACACGAGCACAGCACACAACGGGACATGGGTGACACGGGAGGGGACACAGGAAGGGACACGAGACATGGGTGATGTGAGAGTGGGACACAACGGGACGGGTGACACGGGAGGGGACACAGGAAGGGACACAACGAGACACAGGTGACAGCTGGGGACACCATGAGACACGGGTGACACTGACACGCAGCTGGGGACACGGGGAGACAGAAGTGGGGACAAATTTGGGGTCACAATGGCACAAAAAAGGACACAGCGAGAGAGAGAGACAGGGACAGGAGCGGGGACATGGTGATGCACAACCGAGGACACAACCACAGTGCCACAGCCCAAAAACGGGGACGAAACGGTGACAAAACCAGGGGACAACAATGCCAGGGCCACAACAGGCACGGCTGGGTGTAGCGGGGATCCTGCTCAGGGTGTGGGGGATTCAGGTGTCACCGTGCCCTTGGTGTCACCTCGTGTGGCGTTGTCACCATGGTGGGGGTGTTTCAGGCTGTAGCTGTGGGTTGTACCTCAGACTGTGTCACATTTTGTGTCCGATGGTGCCGTGTGGGGCTGTCACACAATTTTGGGCTGTGTCACATGGTGTCACAGTTGTGTCACGTCATGTGTCACAAGTCAGGCTGTACCTTTGGGTTGTACCTCAGACTGTGTCACGTGCCACATTTGTCACATTTTGTGTCTGACTGTGCCTTGTGGGGTTGTCACACGATTTCAGGCTGTGTTACAGTCGTGTCACGTGTCACACCGTGTGTCCAGCTGTGCCATGTGGGGCTGTGTCAGGCTGCAGCTTTGGGTTGTACCTCAGACTGTGTCACACTCGTGTTGCATTTGTCACATTTGTGTCCGACTGTGCCTTGTGGGGCTGTGTCAG